ATTAAAACAGTATAAAAAAAAAAAAAGACAAAAAAAAACACACAAAAAAACACAAAGACAAAAATGTAACAAGGCACTATATGGCCACCAAGCCCAGAGTATTCACAGAAAAGCCTGCCGACCCTACTTTAAAACTGCTCACGGTTTCCTACATCCATTTATTTTAAAGGGGACTTTACGTCCCTACATAAATGCTCACCTGGAATCACTTGCCATAAGGAAGGAAATTTTGTTTAAAATGCTACATTGAAAATCAAACGTTATTAAACCCTCACCAGATGCATCTGCCTCTTGAAGGTCCCGAGACTGTTTCCGGTTCTTTCCTTGTTAAAAACAAAACCACCACTAAACCCAGATATTAGCGGTGCTACACACGTGCTAACGGGCCAGGTGGAGAGCTCCCTGAGCTCCGTAGACACATTTAAACAAGAGCATAGTGAGCACCCCTCTCATCGGGTGAGTGTCGTTGGTCGATGCACTGTTTGGCCTCCACCTACACTGAGCTCATCGGCCACCAGCGCTACCTTCTGCACCCATCCCCCCCCCGCCCCCCAACGCTGAGAAACCTTTTTCTAAACACATGTGTCCTCTCCTAAAGCCATGGTCTTCCTACGTCCGGGCAGTGTGTAACCATAGGCCGGTGCGTGGCTTGGACAACAGACATTTATATCTCACAGGCGCGGGCAGATCAGGTGTCTGGTGAGAACAGACACTCGTGCTGGCTTGCAGACAGCCTGGTTCTCATGTCCCCACGTGGCAGAGAGCAGAAAGAGAGGGTCACATTGAAGGTGGCACCCCCTCCAGGCCGGGTCCCAACACCACCAGAGATTCTGATGGAGTTCATCTCGGTGTAGCCTCCCGATGTTTTCAGAACAGAGCGGAGCTATAATTTACAAGCGAGAAGAGTAGACTCCTTAAGGTCTCAATTCAGAGCTTTGATGATTATGTATGCACCCTTGTAACCACCAGCTGAGGCAAGAAGAACATTCTGTCCCCCGGAGGGCTCCCTCGGGCCCCTCTTAGCTCAGTTCCCAGCACCCCCTGCCCCGAGGGCAACCACTTCTGCCACTGTCCTTCCCTCTGCCTGTTCTTGGACTTCCTAGGATGCGATCATGTGGGGTTGGGGGAGGGGATGAGGGTTCGTTCCTCACTGTAAGCAGTGGGGGAGGGGCTCCATGCTCTCCGGCGGATCTTCACGCGCAGCCGGACCACGCTCAGAGCCGTTGCTTAACATGTCATTAAGAGCTTAACATTGTGCCTCCCTCTAGTCATTTATTAGGCAAGATTGCAAAAAGAAAAAAGGGAAGGTTTTCCTTAGATTTTCCTCTGCAGCTCTGGGCACTGTCCCCTCAACCATCTTACCTGCGTCCTGGTGATAACAGCCCTTACATAGCACTCCCTTTGGGGGGGGCACCCCGTAAAATCCTTCCATGGATGAGCTCACCCCACTCCCCCAGCCTGCTGAGGCGGGAGCTATTATTATCCCCATTTCACAGGTGAGCAAACTGAGGTCCACGCAGGTGGCTCCAGTCCCTCACTCGACCCCTCTGTACACCTTCGGTGCAGGGCTCCAGCTGTGTCCTTCCCCGTGCGGCGCCGTCCCCAAGAATGCCGCCAGAGGTCTCACTAAAGTACAGACACACAGACTGACCTGTCCCCTCTGAGCCCTTGAATCAGAATCTGCCAGCTTGGAACCTGGCGACTTGTGCTTTTAAATACTCCCCCATCCGAGAGCCACGGATGTGGGAGCAGCGACCCAGGCCAGGAAGAATGCCCAGCAGGTGGTGGTTCTCCGTTTTCCAGACAAGGACACGGGATCTCGGGTCAAGTGCACAAGTGGACACTAGAGGGAGGGGGGGAGGGAAGACTCCTTGACTGCCCTGTGCTCACACTATGCTCCCTGCACTTTAGTCTCGTCCCCCCACTCGGGAGCTGGCACTGTCCCTGCGCCCGCCCGGGGCCCAGGCCACCTGCGGTCCTCAGTCCCGTGCTCTTGTCCTTTCCCACAGATTACTCCACGATGCAGGCGGTCCAGGCCAGCATGATCCTCTCCACCATTCTCTGCTGCATCGCCTTCCTGATCTTCTTGCTCCAGCTCTTCCGCCTCAAGCAGGGAGAGAGGTTTGTTTTAACCTCCATCATCCAGCTCATGTCATGTAAGTAAAACGACAGGCTTCCTGGGATCGGCACCCCC